ATAAATAATTTTGATATAAAAATTCTTAAGTTTTTGAATTGAATATAAAAGGCGAACCTAGAAAATTCTAATTATAAGAAAGAATTAACATTAGTTAGTTTTTGATTTAATGATTTTCGGAAATTATTTTTCTGTTTGCTCTTTTGAAAATGGACTCAACAGTTGCTATCAAAGATAGGCTTAATAAAGAATATATTCGTTATTCCATATGATTATTATAGGTTTTTATATCCTCAATTAGGGTTAACTTTTATCAATAGTTTAAAATTAATTATAAATCTTTAAAATTAAAGAATAAAATTAGTAATTTCAAAATTCCAATTATTATTCAAAAGCGACAATCCTATGAGTTGGAATTCCAAAAATTTCGACAAATTAATCATTAAAGGTTTACCTAATGAATCCAAAATGTTGATTTATAATTCATATATAGATGTAAACAAAGTATATTCAGAAATCGAGAACATCAAATTCTTCTATTTAATATTTTAATGTATTTTTATATATTGTTTATTTTCATTCATTCACAAGGTTTTGAATTGTTCATTGAAAAGGATAAATAATATTTGATAGCAAATGAGAAGAAAGTTGATACTCTATTTAAAATGGAATCCTTAGATCAAACTTAATGTCATCCTGCAAAATTATATTTAGAAAAATCAAATGAAAAACATAGTTAATTTGTATTCCTCAACAATCAATAAGAACAGATTTCTATTACAATGAACCCTTTAGTCTTTGATGCGGATGTTTTGAATATTTCTTAAAACTCGAAAAAAAAAGCATTTGTAATAGAGCCAAATTAACAAGAATAATTTATAATCACATATGAATGCAAGCCATAAAAAGATTAAATTTCATGGAGTTTAATAATACTTAATTTTACAGTATTTGTAGATTAAAATAATTCTCAATCCTATTCAATTTAATTCTACAAACAATGCCAATAGACAGAATAATATTTGCACCCATTAATAATGTTGTTATTTTTAGCAGTATCATTAATAATAATAGGCACCAATTATGGATTATAAGAAGTTAAAATAATTGAATCAATGAAAAATGAAGAATTCAATGCAAAGACATCTGTGTCATTTATTTTTTCTGCAAGTATTTTGTTATTTTGCCTATATAAATTTCCATCAATAGGATAAATGTAAAAAAGTATATAAGTCTTAGAGTTTTGAGTATAGTGATATTTTTTATGGCAATATTGAGTATTCAAATAATTATAGAAGATTAGTTGCTAAAGTTCTTGGGAAAATATTTATTGTTAAAGATTATTTCATACTCCATCAGCTTAATTATTGTAGTCTCGTATTTTTACACTAAACATTGGATAATTAATAATATAGTAGCATTTCTAATTACACTTTTGATGTTCAAAGTAATAATTGAAATTTATTTAGATTATTGAAATTGATAGTTTTAAAACTTCTACAATCTTGTTAAGTCTATCATTCTTTTATGACATATTTTGGGTGTTCATAAGTCCTGTACTTTTTGGAACATCTGTTATGGCATAAGTAGCTACATCCATAGATTTGCCGATGAAATTTATATGCCCTCCTTTGATGAAATCATACAATTCTCCCTTAATGAAATGTTCCATACTTGGTTTAGGTGATATTTTATTACCGGGAATAGTGATCAAATACATTTTAAAATTTGAAAACATGTTAAACAAAGGGCATTGTATGTATATTACATCAATAATTGGGTATTGTATTGGATTGTTAGTTTGTATGCTTTCGTTAGTGATATACTAATAAGCACAACCAGCTTTATTATATTTAGTTCCTTTCATATTGATACCTGTGTTAATAGTTAGTGCGATAAGAAAACAATTTTATTCGTTGTGGATTGGATAGATATTTAGATCTTAGAAATCAGCTGGAGTTTATGAATTGTAATAGAGTGAGTAAGTTTGATTAATATTATAATTGTAAGAAATACAAACAGGAAATTTTAGTAAAATAAAGATTTACAAGTTTCTACTTAAAATATATAAAGTATAATGTATTCCGTAAGTTTATGTTTAATTTTATTAAACTAAAAGATAGAAATTTTAGTTAATAAATTGAATTTATTCTAAAATGTACTCAAAATTTTTACAAATCCTATAGTTTATGAAAAATTTATTATGTTAATTTTTTTTAATAGCTTAGATGATAACATCTATTGTTAATAAAATTATTAGAAGATAAATACTGATTGATATTTCTTTTTAATGCTATTATACCTGCATTGAAGTTTCTATTAAAATAAAAAGTATCGACATCATAATTTATAAGCAAAATGGCTATTTTAAGATATTTGTAAATTCAATAAGTAATGAATAATTGGAGCTTCCTTCCATAATGATTGAGATTAAAAACTTAATATTTTCTACTCAATCATCTCTTATATCAAATTTCTTATATATTAACAAAGATTCGAAAGGTCAATTAGTTTAATAATTAGAATCATCAAAAAAAATTTCACTCTTTATTTCTCGAGTCAGGATTGGATTTGTTATTAGTAAATGCGCATTTAAGCAAGATTTTCGAATTTGGTTTATAACTAGAGATTGGAAAACCTTATTTATTGACTAAAGTCTTTTAAACAAGGTTTTCTATGGTGGACTTTGCATCTTAGATATTTTAATATTTTACTAAATTTAAAAAAAAAAAAAAATAGCTAGAAAACAATGTTTAGAAAGAAGCTTTCTGTTTCTAATCTCTTAACAAGCAATGAAGAAATTATTTAACAATTTAACTCACTGAATTTATAGAGAATGTAAAC